CCTGCACCCCATCAAAATAACACGTAACCAGTCCCATCCTTGCTCCCCCAGCCCATGCCCTCCTCACCCAAATCTGTCTTGGGAAAGCTTTCCCCGCCTGGCAGCTACCCAACACTAATTCAGCACCGCCCTGGGCAGACAGGGCAGCCATACCCTAAACCAATGAGGGGGTCCAGTGGCCCTCAGTGTCTCCCCCACAGGCCTGAAAGTTCCATGTCCCTTCAACAAATATTTTTTGAGCATCAACTCTATGCCAGACATTGGCATTGGGAAGACATGGAGGGTACATTCTGGAGGCCCGTGGCCATTGCTCGGGGCCGAGAAGGGGACTGTCTCCCAAAGCCCCCTTGAAAGCAGCAGTCCTCTCTGTCCCCAGCAGATTGTTAGCCTGCGTTTCCTCATCTGATAATCCGCACGGGGAGGCGTGGTGGTGAGGAGCGACAGGGACAGGGCGGGAAGATGCCCTGTGGCCTGAGAGGCAGCATCCTATCGATCTCATTGGCAGTACCCAGGATGCTAGAGAGCAGCAGGGGCAAACGGGGTCCAAACCCTGGTTTCTCGAGCTTTCTGTGGGGCCCACCTTACAGCCTCAGCTCGGCGTCTGACACATTCCCACAGGTCCAGGTGTCCCTGGGACACGCTGTGGAGAAATGCAAAGTGCATGGACTTTGGTGCCAGACACCCGTGGGGCCTTTTGATGGTGGTTTCCCCCACTAGCTCTGATTCTGGCCGATCAGGTAACCACTCTGTGCCTCAGTTTCCCCAAGGGTGACCCAGAATGTGTTAGGTAACTCATGTTACTTCCCTCTCAGGACCCTCCCACGGTTCCCATCTCACTGGGAGTAAAAGCCAAAGTCATCACAATGGCCCACAAGCCGCTGCACGTAGCCCGGGCGCAGGCCTCTGACTTTAGCTCCTGCTTGGCTCCCCTTCCCCAACCTGCTCCAGCCACACCCTCCTCCTTGTTGTTCCTCACATACACCACGCATGCTCCTCCCCAGGGCCTTTGCACTGGCTGCTCCCTGGGCCTGGCTTTCTCTTCTTCTGGATAGCCACCAAGCTTGTTTCTCATCTTTGGGTCTCTTCAAACCTCCTGTTCTCGCTCACTTTAGAATTCCCAGCCCCTGGTTCATACACACACACACACACACACACACACAGACACACACACACTCTCTCTCTCTCTCTCTCTCTCTCCACCTCCCTTCCCTACCTCACGTTTCTCCATGGTACTTTCCACTGTATATATTCTCATTCATCTATTGTACATATTTGCTCAGTGTCTGCCTCCCCATTAGAGGCCCAGCTCCATGGCAGCCAAGACTCTGCCCTGTCCTCTGCCGCATCTCCAGTGCCCAGAGCCCGGAACACAGCACATGCTCAGGTAATGGTGGTTGAATTCTCAGGGTCACTCAGGCCGAGATGCAGAAAGCCCCCGGCTTCTCTGGAGTCCCCCAGCAACTCTGGGCCCATACAGCCGGGGGCTCTGACACCCCAGAGGGAAGCAAGGAGTGGGACAGGAGGGGGAAGGTGGCCTTTGAAGAGATCCCCTCATAAAGGCAGCCACCAAGGCCCTCGGGCTGGGAAGGTCTTCAGAGCCATCCAAGCTTCTTGCAGTGTCGCGGAGGCCTAGAAAGTCCGAAGGCAGGACCCTGGCCTTTCACAGACGCCACCAGAGATCCTCATACGCCACCCCCATCAATCCTGCCCTTCAATCCAGTCCTCTTAAAGGGCCGCTTCCCCTCCCCCCCCACACACACACACCTAGGGAGGGCCTAGAATGCTCTCCTGCTGGCCTCCACTCATCATCTACACAGCAACCGGAGGATCTTTCCAGCATGTGACTCTGACCATGTCACCACCCAGAGGAAAACCTTCCGTGGCTCCTTACTATCCCTGGGACAGAGTCCAGGCCCACCTGCGTGGCATCCCAGGCTTGCTTGCCATCACTGCCCACCTCCGTCTGGCGCCTCCGCCACACTGAATTTCTTTCACTTCCTCTCTCCCACGCTCTGTTGCCTCTGGGCCACTCCACACCCTGTGACATTTCTCCCCTGGCCTTATCTGGAAGATTCCTACTCATCCTTCCTCCTCCAGGAAGCCCTCCCGGACCCACAGAACTTCTCAGGCGCCGCCCACCCTAGCACTTCTCTCCTGTCTTGTAATGGTCTGTTTCCTTGTCTCCCCACCAAACAGGGAGCTCCGCGGCAGGAAGCAGGCCGAAGAAGTTCTGGGTGCTGAGGCCACCAGCACAGGGCCTGGCCAGGGAGCAGGCACTGGTGAGATGCGGGTGGGTGGTCTCTGACACCATGACCCAGCTTGTCAGTGTCTGAACCGAGTGCCAAGCCCAAGCCTCGCTGACCACCGTCCAGGAGAAAAACCTCCTGCCCGGTCTTCAACTCTTCCTCCTTTCCATCTGCTTGAAGCAAGGATTATACACAGGTGCCAGGAAGATGGGAAGGGAGAAGGGGTCCCACCCTCCTCATGATGCTTGGCCCCCAGCTGGGGTATGGGACGCAAGGAAAGGAGCAGTAGATTGAGGCAAGCCTGGGTTTGAGCCCCACCTCTGTCTTCTCCAGGTTGTGTGACCTGGGGCAAGGTTCACCTCTCTGGGTCTCCACTTTTCCAATTGTAGGATCAGAAAATACCTGCCAAGTGGTACAAACTGTAGAGCCCCATGAGCACCCGGGGGTTATTAGAATGGCTGAGTCCGTCCAGGAGGGATCAGGCCAGTAGCAGGCGCTGGGGGCCTTGCTTGGCCTCAGCATCTCCTGGCTGGCTGGGGTCACACAGGAAAGGCCCCTGGAGGGCATCTGGCCCTGCCTCCTGACTTAGCCCAAGAGGAAGGGGCATCTCTTGCCTGAAGTCGCACAGCAGGTAAATGGTCCTGACCCCCCAGTTCAAGGCCCTTTATTCAGTGCCAGCCCCCACATCTCTCGCCCACCGCACCCCTATTTTTTCTCTTCTTCCCTTTGAGGCCAGCAGAGTCGAACTCCAAGGTCTGCAGGGTCCCAGCGTTCTTTTGGAGGCACGGAGAATGAACTTACTCTCAGGGACTGACGGCGGGCCTGGCCCCGTCAGCAGCCACCAGCCCTCCTGCACTCCCCTCTCTGGCCCCTAGTCCACTCCAGAGACATCCTGTAGACGGCCCACCCACTGGCCTGGGCTCCTCTCTGGCTGCTGAACCATTCTGCTTCCTCCGTGAGGACAGAGGGAAAAAATGTGTTTTCCTGGGCCTTGGCAGCCAGCGCTGGTGGAGCCTCCTCCCTGCTGGAAGGGGAGCAAAGCTGGGACAACCCAGCACCGCAGGGAAGCAGGGACCTTGCAGTCTAGCTCTGGTTCCTCCACCCACTCACACCTCGCGGCCTCAGATAGGTCACTCCCCTCTCTGGACCTCAGTTTCCCGCCATGCCCAACCTCCACTGAGCCTAGAGTACCTTCCAGCACTGATTATTCTGGAGTTTTGAGTGTCAGATTCTGGTCCAGAATGGAGCTCCAAGACCACCAACAGAGCGGAGGCCCTGGAGGAAGGGAAAGGCAATCAGGGAAGGCTTCCTGGAGGCAGGGGCATGGGAACACAAACTCTGAGACTGTGAGCCTTGACCATCCCTCTGCTCCACCTGCATAGCCAGGGGCCACTTCGCCTTTCAGCGGAACTATGACCACAGCTGCCTCCTCACTGGCCTCTGGTCTTACCTGCCTCCACTGCTGGCCCTGTCCTCTGTCCTCCCCGCAGAGCTGTCAGAGGGAGCACTGCTGACAGCTGACACAAACCTACAAACCTGCCCAGGCTCAGGCCACTTCAAAACCCTGCCAGGCCAGCCTCCCCTCCAGCCCGCCAGTGGGGCCCCCAGGTCTCCATCGGATTCTCTCTCTGCTCTCTCCCAGGATCCTCATGCTCACAACAAGTCAAGGAAAGGACAGTAAACTCTACCATCCTTGTACATTTCCCACAGGGAGTGTGTCTGTGTGTGTGCGTGCATGTGTGTGCATGCGTGTGAGGGAGGATGGCACCCGGGTCCTGAAGGATCTGCTCACTTTTAAGAGACTGCTTCAAGAACCCCCTAGGGCTTCCTGCTTCTCTGGGGTTCCCAGACCTTTTTTCTCCAAATGTTGTGGAGTTCTTCCAGGACATGGACCTAATGCTCATTCATTCGTTTCATCAGCAAACCTCCAAGAAGAACCTACTCTGTGCCAGACTTGTTGCTGGGTCCCAAAGGCCCAAAGATGAATCACAGCCCCTGCCCTTAAGGGCTTCACAGATGACCATCCTTCCATCTGACAACCCAGCTCACTGGTCACCTCCTCAGAGAAGCCTCCCTTGATTGCCCTGGCTAAGTCGGAGTCCTGTTACATACTTTCAAAGCACAGCGCCTTCTGCCTCATACTACCCATCTCAGCTGTGGTTTTGCATTTAATTTGGTAGCTCTTTCTTCAACTTTGTCTCCCCTTCCTCGACCATAAGGTCCCAGAGGGCAGGCTCTGGATCTGGTTTGTTCACCAACTCACTCCCAGCAACTGGCCCATGACAGGCTCCGTGGCAACGCAGGGTAAAAATGTCAGGACTGAGGGAGGCACAGGAACCCATGTTGGGTCCCAGGCCCTAGGGAAGGCCCAGAGGTGATTCAGTGGGAGGTCAAAACTCTCAGTGCTAGCTTTCCATCTGTGAGCCACCCAGCCACTTCCCCTTGTCCCCTGACCCCCCGCCGCCCTACTGGGGGATGTTTCCTGCCCAGCTTTGAAGGATGGGCCTGCCTGGTTCCTGTGCTCCTGGCTGCCACCTCCCTTACTAAAACCCTATACTCCTGGACATCCCTGGCTCCAGCCTGGGGCTGTGGGCTCTTCTTTCTCTCTCACAGGTCCCCTGGAAAATAGGCGGTGTGTGGAGGCTGCCATACCTTCCCATTCTACACCCATCCTGCCACCCCACATATTGCCTAGTTCCTGCGGCAGATAGAGACACTCAAATTCCCACCTGTGGGAGCAGAGCTCACCAGGGCTCAAAGATTCACCGTTAAAAGATCATCTGGTTTCTCACCCCAGCAAGCTCAATTACCACCCCACCCCCCACCCCCGTTCTAAGCTCTGTGGGTGGGAGGGGCGCAGAATAGGACCAAGGCATCCCTAAGCCCCATCTCATCCCACAGGCTTAATGGGGAGAGGAGGCTGGTCAGGGCCCCACCCCTCACATATTAACCCTTCATGGACCAAGACCACCTGTGCCACCGCCTGTTGACCATGCCTAGCCCAGGGTGAGGACTCTGGGTCCTAGGGCTGGCCCAGGCCTTCAACTAGCTCCTCAGGTCCAACCATCAACAGGTCTGTCTGACTAATCCCACCTGTGAACTGAAACCAGCAGGAGAGCAGAAACCGGCTCCACCCCATCGGCCTGGTCTCACCCTCCCCAGCCCAGCAGGTACAACCTCCAGAACCAGGACCAGCCAAGAGTAACCACCAAAGAGAGACGGCTGGGGATTCCTTCCCACCTCCCACCTTTGTGGTGGGTTTTCTGGCCCTTCTTCCTCCTGAGAGGGAGGGGATGGGCAACCCTGGGGATGAAGGAGAGTCCCCAGGGTCTGCCTTCCCCAGGCAGCTGGAAAACCCGGGGACAAGGACAGAGGCACCAGCCCACTTTGTTGCCAGACCCATCAGGGTGCTGAGGCCAGGGGTGGCCCTCTCATCTCACCCCCCAGCCCAGCTGGGTGGGGCTTTTGATACTTTGCCCCACCCTGTGGCTGCAGGCGCCGCTGGCTCTGGGCGGGGGACAAACACCGCAATCACATGGCCGTGTCCCTGGGAAACTCCAGGGACAGCAAGGGCCTGGCTGAGGGCTGGTCGGAAGGGGACAGCCCGAGGGAAAATTCCCGTACCCCCGTGTGACCATGGAACGGGCCACTTCCCTCGATCGAATCCTTATTCCGCGTTTATTCCTGTGGGCACACTCTCTCCGAGGTACACAGGGCTGGTACACAGGCCCCAGGGTCTTCACCGCCCTGGGAGCACGCGGGCGGACACAGACAGGACACACACACACACACACACACACACACACACTCTCTCTCTCTCTCTCTCTCTCTCTCCCTCTCTCACGCACGCACCGGGCAAGATACGAGGGACACTGGCCCGGGAACACACACGCACTCCCGCCCTCGGACGTAAACAAACCGCGCACGCACGGCCCGCGGGCACCGGTCCAGGGACTGTTCTCACCAAGTCACGTACGTGCACACACCGCCCCCGGCCCCGCCTGGGCGGACGCTGACGCTCGCCGGCCTGCGCTGCCCCTTCCTGCCCCGCTCGGCCGCCTCGCCGCGCGCGCCCCCAGAAGGGGCCCGTCACCACCGCACCCCACCAAGCCTGCCTGGGCCCCGTCCCGGTCCTGCCGGACCTCTGGCCCCCGCTCCCCCCACCCCCCCCCGCCCCCCGCCCCCTCCGCTCCCCCCCCGTCCGGGCGAGGGATACACCGGAGCTCCGACGAAGCGGGCCCCGGCGCCCCGCCCCAGGCACGTTCCCGGGCGCGGAGACCCTGCCGCCTCGGGTTTCGCTCGCCGGTCCCGGTCTCGGACCCGCGTCCCTCACCCGCCTCTCGGCCCGCTTCGCGTGGCGCCCCGGGCACGCGCGGCTGCCGCTGCCGTCCGGGCTTGCTGGTCCGGCCCGCGCCCTGGTCCGTCTCCCCTCCGGTCCCGACCGCCGGTCGCTCCGAGCCGGGCTCCCGAGAGCGCCGCGCCGAGTTTTGTTGTGGGGCGGGCGGCGCGGGGGGCGGCGCGGAGTTGTAAGGCGAGCTTCCCGGAATTACTCACTCACAGGATTCCTTTCATTCATAAAAACCCAGTCATGCGGTGACGTCACCGCCCGGCGATCCCTCCGGCCCCGGAGCGGCCTCCCGGCTCTCGGCCCCGCCCCCGGCAGGCCCCGCCCCCGGCAGGCCCCGCCCACAAAGGTCCCATTCCCTTCCCCCCCCCCCAGCCCCCCCTCCGCAAGGCCTCAGCGCGGCCAGGATTCTCAACCCCCGTTAGAACATCGGCTGGGTGCATTCACGTGATACCTCGCGAGAGCCGCGTGGGCGGAGGTGTCATTTGTCTCCTTTTGCAGTCGACAGCCCCGTGCCTTTTCTTTCAACCTACACCCTCTGCCTTGATGATCTCATCCAGTCCCGTGGTTTTAAATGCCAACCATATGCCCATGATCTCCAAAGAGCTTCTCTGAGTTCCAGACTGGCCACTCTGCACCTCTAGCTGGGTGCCAGATGAGAATGGCAAAAATCCAACTCCCGACCACCAACCCCACCTCAGCCCCCGGTACCCCCAGACTTCCCAGTTGCAGTTGTTCAAGCCCATTCCTCTGTCTCCCTTCTTCCCCGCTAGTCAGGGGGCTCTACCTCCAACACTGTCCGCCATCTGACCACTCTTCCCCACCCCCAGTGTTACCACCTGGTCCAGGCACCATCAACTTACCTGGACAATGGCAGCAAGCCTCCTGATAGCCTCCCCACTTTGCCCCCAAAGGCTTTCTTCACACACCAAAGTTCTTAAAACAAGGATCAGATTCACACACTCCCACCCGCTGGTTTAACACCCTCAATGGCTTCCCTTTGCGTTTAGAATATAAACTATACTCCTCCTTATGGTCTATAAGGCCCTAAGCCATCTGGCCTCTACCCAACTCCACAGCCTCACTTTCCATTCTCCCCTCACCCACTACTCTTCAGCCACACTGCCCTTCCTACTGTCTTTCAAACACACCTAGCTTATTCCTACCACAGGTCCTTTGCACTAGTTATGTCCTCTTCTGTTCACGGCCAGGCTCTTTCTCATCTCTCAGGTCAGCTTAGAAGTCACTGCCTCAGAGAGGCCTTTCCTGAATGCCCTGCCTAAAGGAGCCCCCGCTTCAGAAATCTGTTCTTATATTAACCTTAATATCTCCATAAGGTATTACCTTGCTTATATTTGTTTACTATTTAATGTCTGTCTTCCCCAAACAGAATGTAAGCTTCTTGCCTACCTTGTTCACCACAGCATGTCCTGTGCCTAGAGCAGTGCTCAGCACATCGTGAGCCCTCAATAAATACATGTTGAGGAAATATATTAGAGGAGGCTCAGAGAGGTCAAGTGACTTTCCAAAGTCACCCGGCTGGGAAGTACAAGAACTGGAATTTGAATCTGGACCTGGTCCAGACATTTGGGGCTGTGCCCAACTGAGTGGGTTCCAGTATAAATGTGAGGGTTATATTCAGTGCCTGGGGCTCCACCCAAAAGGGGCAGCTTTGGGGGGGCAAAATGGGGGTGTGTTGCAGTTTATCCCCCTTGCTCTTGCTCATGCTGTTTTCAGGGCCTGAAGGGCCGGTCACTCCAACAGCCACATCTTCTGTGAAACTGACATCACAGCACCTACCTTATTTTACTGTGTAAGGCATAGGGACCCCTCAACTATGCGGTCTTTGTGTGGAGCCTTGGTCACCGGCAAGGCTCCTCCTTCCCTTGATATAGTAGAGTTTGATTTCAGAGGCTTTGTTATACCTTCCTGCCTGGGATTGTGACTACCATCTTTTACCTCCGGAAGGCCCCAGGTTTCTTATGCAGGTTGGCCCACTAGGCTTCCCAAGTGACCAAATATGTTTGACATTCGAACAACCCTCTCCCCCCAACCAATTGCCCACTTGCCCTACATTTACACATCTCACAGAGCCACTCATATTACCTCTCGGGATACAGAAGTTCTTGATTTTAGAAACTGCACGATTGTGATTATTGGGCTTTCTCTGCCCCCTCCCCCCCACCATTTTCTATGAGCTTCTTAAGAGCTGAGGCCATAGTCAGTGCTCAACTAGTGAATGAATCCCCAGGGACCTGCACAACACCCCAGGACACCATACTGCCTAAATCCTTTGTTCCCAACCCCAGCCTGCCCACGTCAGGGTGTCAGCACTTCAGAACCCACGCAGCAGAGACTGCTTGCCCACAGACATGGCTCCCTTTCTGGTCAAGGTCAAGGGACATAGTGCAATGTCGTATTTAAAAGTGGCAGCTCCGTGGCTTGAAAGGGGGGTTCCTACTGGACAAATCTAGGACAATTCCAATGTAAAAAAAAAACCCAGTAATGATGGATCATAACCCATTAAATAAGAATCGATGAGTCCATACTAATATGAATGAATGAATGAACAGAAGACAAAGCTCCTCCTTCCAGTAGAAGGAATGATGGAGTTAGAAAATGACCATTAGGCAAGCATTCTAATAATAATGGATTCCAAGAAGAATCATCAATGGATATGAAAATTTGATGAGAAACGTGAAATTTTATAGTTTCTTTTTTTAAGGATTTTATTTTTATTTATTTGACAGAGAAAGACACAGTGAGAGAGGGAACACAAGCAGGGGGAGTGGGAGAGGGAGAAGCAGACTTCCCACTGAGCAGCGAGCCCGATGTGGGGCTCGATCCCAGGACTCTGGGATCACGACCTGAGCCGAAGGCAGACGCTTAATGACTGAGCCACCCAGGCGCCCCAAAATTTTATAGTTTCAAAGTGTTACCATAAATATAATTTTTTTAAAGACTCTATTTGAGAGAGAGAGAGAGAGAGAACGCACAAGCAGGGGGGAGGGTCAGAGGGAGAGGGGCAAGCAGACTCCCCACTGAGCAGGGAGCCCAACATGAGGCTCATCCCAGGACCATGAGATCACAACCCGAGCCTAAGTCAGATGCTTAACCAACTGAGCCACCCAGGCGCCCCTCTAAATATAATTATTAATTGGAAATGGAAAGATATTCATTCTACAGTGGAGAAACGTGGCAGATACCATTTTCACTAAGTGATCAAAGTTCCTTTCAGCAGCAATGGAGCAAACTGACGCGTGTACCCCCTGAACGATGCACTGAGGAGGACACAGCATCACTTCTGTGGTGCAGCTGACAGAAACTCTTACAGTGAATGTCATCATGAGGAAATGGGAGACACACCCAAACTGAGAGAAGCCCTATAAAATAACTGGACTGCATGCTTTAAAAAATGACAAGATCGGGGTGCGTGGGTGGCTCAGTCTGGTAAGCGTCTGCCTTCGGCTCCAGGTTGTGATCTCAGGGTCCTGGGATCGAGCCCTGCGTCTCAGCACGGAATCTGCTTCTCCCTCTCCCTCATGCTCTTTCTCTCTCTTTCTCAAATAAATGAATAAAATCTTTAAAAAAAATAAAAATAAAAAACGACAAGATCATGAAAGACAAAGACGGGACTGTTCCAGATTAGAGGAGACATGACAACTGAATGCTGTGTGGGATCCAGGATTTTCTGTTGGTATGAAGGACATTATGGAGGTAGTTGGTAAAGTCCCCGTAGGGTCTGTGGACTAGCTAATAGACTCTTACGGATGTTAATTTCCTGATTAGTGGTCAGGTAGGAGAGTGTCCTTGATTTTATGAAACACATGTTGGAATATTTAGAGGTAATGGGGTATCGTGTCTGCATTTACTCTCAAATGGCTTGGAACAAGATAGGTAGGGAATTATAAAGATAATGTGACTAAACATTAACAATTGGGGAATCTGGGTGAAGAACATACAGAAATTCTGTCATTCCTGCAATTTTTTTTTAAAGATTTTATTTATTTACTTGACAGAGAGAGACACAGCGAGAGAGGGAACACAAGCAGGGGGAGTGGGAGAGGGAGAAGCAGGCTCTCCGCCGAGCAGGGATCCCCATGCGGGGCTCGATCCCAGGACCCCGGGATCATGACCTGAGCCGAAGGCAGACGCTTAACGACTGAGCCACCCAGGCGCCCCCCCCCTTTTTTTTCTAATACAAGTTCTTTTCCTCGGTTTTGTTTTTTTAAGTAGGAGCCCTCCGGGAAGTCTGAGGGCTCAAATCCTGGCCCCCACCCCTCACCAGCTGAGTGACTGAACCTCTCCCTGTCTCACTCTCCTCCTTTGTAAACCGGGCTTACTAATAGTGCCAACTTCATGGATGGTGAAACAATTTAATGTGTTCACACTTAAAAGCAAGTGGCACAGTGCCTAGTGTGGGATAAGAGATTGATATTGGGTGAGAGAGAGATGAGTCTTCTGGAGTCCCCTAGAGAAACCTGCCTCCCGGGCGCCTGGGTGGCTCAGATGGTTAAACGTCTGCCTTCGGCTCAGGTCATGATCCCAGGGTCCTGGGATCGAGTCCCGCATCAGGCTCCCTGCTCCTTGGGAGCCTGCTTCTCCCTCTGCCTCTCTCTCTCCCTCTCTCATGAATAAATAAATAAAATCTTAAAAAAAAAAACAAAAAAAAACCTGCCTCCCTCTTCCCTGGGCAAGTGACAAAGCCAGGGCTGACCCCGCCTGGCCAGAGACCCCACCTCCTGCCCACAGGGCGGGGCCTCATTCAATTTCTGGGGAGGGCGTGCCTCTGCCAGCTAAGTGCCGCACAGCTCTGACTGGTCCAGTTTCATCCCCTGCTCATCTGGTCAGGGCTCCAAACCCCCAAATAGCACCCAAGCATATCCCTGTGGGACCCCAACCCTCAGTAGGTGCCCAGGAACAGCAATAGGCTTGAGCCAAGCCTGGATCTGCAGCTCATTCACACGCCTGGTTGATCCCAGTGTGGGGCATTCCTCGTTCCCAGCCTCAGTTTCCCCATCTGCAGTGAAAGCCTAGGATTAGGTCAGTGATTTCGAAACCATCTCAAACCACAGTAAACTTTCTTCAAAGGAAAGTTGACTCAGCCGTGTGTCCCGCATTGTAAAAATAGCTAGAGGC